CAAGTCTGCGGGAATATCGTCGAAAGAAGAGCCTTAACCTCACTATACTCATTATCTTGACTACTTTCTAAGTCAATGTAATATTCAGGTAAATACATAGCGTGTGTGGGGTGAATGTTTATGGCGCTCGTGTCATTACAGTTATTTCTTGGAGGTGGACTGGGCGAAGTACCAGGTGATGAATCCACTTGCACCGATGGCGTATTAGAGCCTTCATGATGTGAATCTGAATCCAAATCTGAAAAAGACGCATTGTTTAGTTTATATAATAGATTCTTATTCTCTATTTTCATATTGATTTCTCGAGGAACGGCATTAGCGACTCCATTATTTTGGCTGATTTGATCATTTTCAGGGTCTTCAATGGGGCGTAAAGTATCTTCACTCGTATTTATAGGAACAAATCTCACTTCTCCACTGGAAACAAAGCAATATACAGACAGCTTCATGTCTAATAAGTCAACTGAAACATTTAGTAGAATCGCTTTTTCATATTCTGGGATCTTTTTTCTATCAACAGCGAGAATTCACATGCTTCAGAAGGGAAAATATTGATACGCTACAGTCATGTGAGCTTAAGCTAAATTTTATTGAAAAACTATACAATAAATACTCTAGACATTAAGAGATTCATCTTGGTTGATTCTATTATACTGTGTATCGGGATTGTCATTCTCTTCTTCTTCGGAAATGATAATATATGGTTCATATGCTTTTGGATGAGTGATATGTGGAAATAATCTGCGATAAGCCCAACATGCCATACCTAATCCAATAAGACTTCCTATGATGACATCGACAAAATGATGCCTGTAGTCTTCAGTACGACTCAACGCAATATATGTACATTGTAATGTAGGAATCCATGCGAGGATAGATCTCCAGTAGCCCAGATTTTCGTTCATGATAACCAATTGACCACTTAACCACAACGACAAGTACACGAGACCGGAAAAACTGATACTGGAATGGCCAGAAGGCGTGGTACGGAAGCCGTCCTTCAATAATTCAAGATTATCGGTAGTGCAGACATCTTTGGCATAGACCATTACATCGAGAGGTGCGTCGCTTCTAGGAACACAACGAGCGAGGAAATCAGGACGATGTCTGCCGATCAAATTCTTGAGGACATCAGTAACAACGCTAGTCGTGAAGCACGAGATACAGAGTCCAAGGATCGATACGTACGTCACGTATATCTTGTTTTCGGGCTTTGTCATGATTAATCCTATCACCCCGATAATGATTATTGGCTCCCACACCGAATAGAAGAATAAGGCCCCATTTGTCACTCTTTCGGATTCTGCAAACGGATGCGAGATCGTAAGGTCGTTGATGAAAAACTGCCTCTGAAATGGCTCTATCTTATAAGTGACAATGTACAAAACACACAATACCCCCAATAAGACTAAGTCTGCGAACCTCCACCGAACTAAACGGGCTGATAATGCATTTCTTTTCAATCCAAATGTAACTCGATTGAAGTCATCATCCGTGTGAAAGTAGTTCAACACGTTGTATACTTTTTTCTTGACGTTATCCATGTTTAAGATTAGTTATATTGATATATAGTATATACTAAGTCAGATTTGGGACATAATTAAGGGAAAGCCAAGTAAAGCACTGGCCACGTGATCCCACCATACGAGATAAATTTATCTATTGGTGATAGACGTCTGTAAAACAAGATATATCTTGTAGGAGACAAGTCTTTATTGACCGTAACCGATATCGCATGTATGTATCCCTACGGCTATGGTCTCCCAGGGTAACCATATTACCAGAACCTGAAATTTATTCAAAAAATTGTTTCAATCACATAATTGTTCTCGGAAAACCATTTATCCGCACAGATGATAAGTATATATCCAAAGCAGGAAGGTATCTAATGGAAATAAGTATTTACCCAGTGATGATAAAATAACATGCCCGGATGTAAGTTAAATAGATGGGATATCCCTGATGAAAACAACCTGATTTATTTTTATGTTATTATAATTATTGAAATATGGCTGGTTATATGGAATACCAACAGATACCCACGCCTGGAACGAGTATACCCTCGACTCCTACAGAAAGTAAAGCAAGCTTAAATTTAGACCAACTTGATACACAAATAATTAGCGCAACAGTTAATGACGACTTGTCTAAAGATGGACCAAATAGTTTGCAAATGTTAAAGAAGTCCGTTCCATATAAAACATCGATGGCTACCATAACTTTTAACGGAACCATTTGGGAAAAGGTCGATGCCATAGCTAGTGCAGGTTTCGATGGAATTGAGATCATGGCTCCAGATTTGGATGAGACAACACCTGAAGAGTTGTATCAATACTGTCAATCCAAAAACCTCCAAATCACCGTATTACAACCTTTTAGGGACTTGGAGGGGTATGACGATGAATCTAAATTCCAGAACAAGCTTGAAGAATTAGAAAGAACCTTCAAGGTGATGCAGGAGCTCCACACAGACCTCTTGATGTGTTGTGCTAATTGCTTGCCAGAGTCTGAGATTTCGCTGGATGAATCTACGATTATTAGACAATTGAGAGCAGCAGCAGACCTCGCTGCAAAATATAACATTCGTATTGCGTACGAAAACTTGAGTTGGGCAACCCACATTTATACATTGGATAGATTGTGTCATATAGTGAGAGAGGTTAACAGACCAAACTTTGGGTTATGCTTAGACACCTTCCACATTAACATTCATAACTCTTCGCTTGACACTATTGATAACATGGGCGATAAAATCTTCTTTGTTCAATTCTGTGACGCTCCTATTCTTAAGCTTAACACAATAATAGAATATGCTAGAAACTACAGAGTCTTCCCTGGTCAAGGTGAGTATTCTAACATTGTGGAGATGCTTTCAAAGATTCACAATGGCGGATACAAAGGATACTTATCGTTGGAGGTATTTAATGCCTCGTTCAGAGAGAATATCGGCTACTGTAAGCCTGTCGCTGATGATGCCTTGAGAGGATTACTATACTTACAAGGACTTTTCTGCGATCAGTATTTGGGTAAACAGGTATTCCCAAGCTTGAAAGTCGACTATACCACCCTCAATACCCCCGTTACATCACTGTCTACTGATCGTCCTTTTTCATGGACCGATTTAACCTTACACATGGATCAATCATCGCAAGCCGTTTTCAAGCTCAACTGCGAAAACCTAGGCTACGCCAACTACTTCAACGCCCAGACCTTATCCCTTGACATCGCCGCTTCAATGTTGACCCCAACACAATCACCAGCTATTTCCAGAATCATATTAAAGGTCAACAATAGACAAGAATACAATAGACAGTGCTTATTTATAAGATCGGTTTTTGGCATGTCCCATATACAAAATGACCCTTACAATACTGCTACTGACTTTGGCCTCCCCAATCTGTCAAGCTTTGGTTACTCCTCTGGCGGCTTAATCATTACATTGGCACTTAACCAAGAATAATTGCATTGTATCCTACGGAATATTATATATATACTTAGATAGAAGTCCATTTTAACCCCCCACGTATCCCCCAATAATGCACAAAATTTAATTTTTAATATATTAGAATAGAATAATTTGTTTATTGTAGACCTTAATAACCCACTCGGAAGCTCACAGGTCCGACCGCCGGTTTAACTCTTCTACATTCCTTGCAGAATATTTTTCCTAACGCTTCCGATGCAGCTGGATAAACCATTAACCAAAAAAAAACGAGGAGGAGAACTGGGCACACACGACGCTGAATATGTTTCTATCAATTGTTAAGATCTATTTAATATAGGGAGTTACTATCATGATTGATACCGTAAAAATGGCAGATACTGGTCAATTGGACCTTAAAGAAATACATGATTTCGCCTTCGATGTGGCAGAAAGAGCTGGTAAGATGTTGGTGGCTGCATCCCAAAATAGAACTGCAGATGATAATATAATATTGAAGAAGAATACCGTAGATATAGTCACAGAGACTGATGAAGAGGTAGAAAAGTTTATCAAAACTGAAATTAATAACAGGTATCCAGAACATAAGTTCATTGGAGAAGAGACATATTCCGCAGGCGAATCAAAGAAATATCTTGTCGATGATGACCCAACATGGATTGTAGATCCTTTAGATGGAACAGTCAACTACGTACACTTATTTCCTATGATCTGTGTATCAATTGGGTTTGCAATTGGAGGAAAAGCTGTTGTGGGTGTTGTGCATGCTCCGTTTTTGAGTCAGACGTATTCCGCATACCCAGGAGGGGGTGCATGGCTTAACAAGCTGATCCTGCTCCCATTGCAGAACCTTCCGATGCCAGAAAATGCTCCAAAGGGGTGTATTTTCCTGTGTGAATGGGGAAAGGACAGAAGATATGCTCCAGGACTGAATCTCCAGCGCAAGGTCGATTCGTTCATCAACATGGCCACCGACTACTGTCACGGTGTTAGAAGTTTGGGGAGTGCCAGTTTGGATTTGTGTTTTGTTGCGACCGGAGCATTCGACATATGGTGGGAAGGTGGATGCTGGGAATGGGATGTGGCCGGAGCAGTTGCCATCTTAAATGAAGCAAAAGGGTTAGTTACTACTGGAAACCCACCTGAAAACCCAGATGTGATTCCTGAGGTTGAATTGGGTTCAAGATTGTATTTGGCGGTTAGACCATGTCAACAAACTGACACAGAAACATCCAGGCAAAGTCAGGAGAGAGTCATTCGTCAAGTATGGAACAGAGTAAATTCTCTAGACTACGTTCGTCCACAGTAATATTTCAAGACATGCATACGTAAATGGCATATATAATACATAACAAATATACCAACTAATACCCCGCTAGATAATGTAAACTATTTGCATTGATTTATAGAATGTAGAGTAATTTTCAATTTTGGCTGCTACCGATTGATCGAGAATATCGAAATTCAGAGCGAAATCAGGGCGAATTCAAATAGTATCCCTTATTTTAATAATACAACTGATATAAGCATACTGAAGTAGTATATTCATATATATAGCATGAGTGGCAGTATATTTAGTTCTGGAGATCCATGGGAAAATGGCTGGGCATCTAATGATAATGATAATATAAGGTCATCTACCATTCCTGGTTTGGATTCAGGCAGTACATATTTAACATCATCACAATTACTCAATCATGATGATACAGGAGATGCAAATAAATTAGGTGAAATTCCAGTATCGTATAAGAAGGTTTATTCTGCATTGTCAGAAGAGATATCTACAGTCACTGATTTGGAAAGATTGGTATTTAATAAGTTGGTGGACGCTGGCTATTTTACAAGTTATCAAAGTTCGAAGATCTTAGATACATTGTATGATCATTCCATATTACCACCATCTGACATTGCCAATTTTGAACGAACTTTGGGTCTCATTGCATTGGAATTGGATGCAGCAGGAACGGGCGAATATGTGACGTTACAAATGAGACTCAATGATTTGCCTGATTTACCTGACAAAGTAGTTCATTTGCTTATAAATGAAGATGACAAGTCGAAGACTAAGGATATTGTGGATCCATTGAATGCTCAATTGGCAAGCACGGGATTGTCTGAAAATGATAGGAATGAATGGCATGCGGATACGTCAGAACATAAGACAGGTGGTCAAGCAAGTATTTTGTCAGACCCTATACTTACTGACCATACTTCTGTACAGAAAAGTCATCTTGATGGAGGTGGAGAACAACAGCCTGCAGATCATTCGCATATTGCCAAATACATCAATAATATAAGAGATACCTTTACTCCATTAGTTGATTCGAAAGAAACCATCAAGATAAAAGAAGTACCTGAAAAGGAAGGATTGGTTTTCAAACACACAAATTATATCATTTCCCATGACTTAAGCTTGGGCATGCATGGACCAGCAGGAACAAAGAAAGTCATCAGAAGATATTCTGACTTTGTATGGTATGTAACACAATTTCAACTATTATCTGACACACTATACTAACTTAACTAGGTTATTGGAGTACTTATTGAAAAAATACCCCTTTAGGGTGATTCCTGGTTTACCTCCTAAGAAATTTTCTGGTATGTAATTTTAATTTCTTATATGTTTCATTGAATCATTTACTAATCATTTACAATTAGTAGGATCTTCCCCGGATTCTCAATTTTTACAAAGGCGTCGTCGGGGTCTTTTCAGGTTCTTAAATCAAATAGTTAAGCATCCTGTATTAAGACAAGATGCATTAGTCGTTACGTTTTTAAGTGTTCCGACTGATTTAACTACGTGGAAGAAACAAGCGAAAATTGACTATTCTTTGGAATTTAAAGGACGTAAGATCCTGACCGAGTTTATTAATTCTATTTGGCCAACCATAGGAGAGGAATTTCTCAATAATTGGAAAAATGCAGAGAATAATATTACTAAATTAATTGAATTATGGACCAAGATTGTCATGTTGGTTGAAAGATATGAAAAGAGACAACAACAAGTTGCGTATGATAATGGAAAATTCGTAGAAATGATAAAGGGATTTCTGCTTTTAAATGGTTCGCTCTATCCTCATTCAGAAGAACATGGCACGATAATTGGCAACAATAATAAAGATGATATGAATTCTATTAATGACTCCTTGGATCGTGTATCGGGATTTTTCAACAAATCAAGTCAAGTACTTATAGATGATAGTTATGCCATAAATACATCAGTGTTGGAAAAGTTCAAAAACTATCTTGATTATTTATATTCATTACAAGAATTATTTGAAAGATCCAGAAAATTACTGGCTAATAATATAGCACAATTGCAAATCAGAATTCATGATAATGAGCAAAAATACAATAAATTAAGTAGCGATGATGCTGACATAAAAGGAAGTGAGCTAGCTAAATTAAGACAGGTCATAATTAACGATAAACAAGAAATATTCCAGCAATTAAACAAGGACTGGTTAATCAAAGATTGTGTCTTGGATGAATATTTGATGTTTCAAGAAACGCAATACTTGATCAGTGAGATGTGGGTCGAATGGTGCAAAGGCAGATACAAGTTTCAAGATAAAATATTCGAATTGCATGATAACTTGAATAATGAGGTTGTCAATGACATGCCTCTCTCCAGATAACATTGTATAATACGTAAATTGTCATTTCCAATGTTCTCCATAATATATCATTTATATGAAATTTCACGACAGTCTTTACTTATTCTCTAAATTTTGTACCACATTTTGCCACTTGGCTATCACTTCATGCTCACTAGTGCTTCGTAATTCCAAATCTTCATCGAAATATCTCTTGTGCAACACCTGTGAGATATTAAGTTCCGACTTAGCCTGATCGAATAACTCTTGATCATCACAAGAAATCAATGATCCCAATATGTTACCTACGATAATCCCTAGTTCCGCACCTTTGGGAAACAGATCGTCAAACCCATCTTGAAGACTCGATTCTTTAGCATTAGTTATCCCATCCAAATATCCTTGTTTCGAATGCATTCTTTTAATATCTGCTGTGGAATTATCTAGCTCTTCTATGTCATCATCACCCCAAATATCATCAATGCCACTAGTCTCATTTTTAGTCACTTCTCTTTGATCAGAAACCCCCGAATCTACCTTACTAGCGCAGGAACAATCTCCATTGCAATTAGAAGACATTTCACCTCTATTTGTTTCCGTAGACAGACTATATTGCAACTATTTAGGTCCTTAATATGGTATTTAAATAAATGTCGCATGTCGTCCAATAAAATTTTCAAATACACAAACGGTTCGTTAGTCAATTAGTTTAGCAAACATATACTATATTCATCAGTATAAACGAAGTACGATATACCATCATTAATTATTAATAATTTAACTAGTATAAGGTGCTGGTAACCTGGAAAACGACATTTATTTTGAATTATTATAATTCTTATTTTTAACAATCCTTTAATCAATACAAACATTACCGTAAGGAAATACTATGACAGAGAATATAATCACACAGGTATCCCAAGAATCATACCCACCTGCTTCTCAGCAAGTATATGAGGAGGGAGAAAACATAGATTACGATTCTACAATACATTTGAACATTAGAGGTACGAATTTCACGATAACCAGAGATGAGTTAATGAGCTTACCGGAGAGCATATTATTATGTTTATTCCCAAATGGTGTATTTTTGGATGAAAATGGGCAAGTTATTACCAACTTGACGGAGGAAGACATCGTGTATGTTAACTTTGAACCAGAATGTTTTCAATATATTATCGATACATTTGGTCTGGCTCAACGTGATTTACAAGAAATGCCCGCCGAGTCACCCCAAGTTAGTGGCTACGGACGTTTTTCTCAACAGGAAACAGGCGCCAGTGTGTTACAGAGTAAGCCAGCTATTATTGTCTTGAGAGAGGATTTGGACTATTATGTTATTCCACCAATCCTGGGCCTTAACGCAGAGCAAATAAGATATATCAAATTGCAAGTATCGGAAGGCTTGACGAAAAATAAAATGATATTCAGCGGCTTGGGCTACGACCCGTCGCTCTCGCCTTCGGTTGAACAAAGCTTGGGTCCTGCAGAACAGCATTTGTTCGACATGTTATGTTCCAGCGGATTTGAACCAACTGGAAAGTGGGGCAGCAGATCTCCGGAACCTAGTAAATGTGTTATTCTGTCGTTGCTGTTGGTACGTTTGAGACCAGACGAACCGCAAACTCCAGACTCCCCATCGTTAGATCCAATACCATCTGAAACGTCGATTGCATCGAGAAAATCGAGATCTCGTATCGCAAATTTAGCTTCCAGCGCATCGAGGGCCGCTTCAAGGTCATTATCTAAGAATAGAAAAAATGTGAATTCCAACCAAACCAAGCTATTATTGTTCTGGAGGAAACCCGCGAGAAAGTGCTGGTGGTCAAATCAAACTATAGACATTGATGTGTCAAGCATATTGCCTAATCAAAAGATAATGACAGTTAAAGTACATGTTAGAAGAGTCTGGACTTTGGAATTATCTGTTATTGGTGTTCAATAATACATTTCCATTTCGTTAAGCTTATCATATATATATCTATATACCATATGTCATCAATCCAGCTCTGCATCGATAGCTATCTCTAATATTAATAATATATAATTCTATAACTCATTCCAGTATCAATGAATTTTACGTGTATACATTTACGCGTTAAAAGTAATTTTGAAATAAAATCAGCTTGTTTAGGCATACTAATATACGTTCTAATCTACTATATAGCAAGAATGGCATCTATGTTAATGGGCAAGGCCCAGAGAGCTGAAATGTATGAGCAAGAAAGATTGCATCATACTCCTTGGGTTGAAAAGTACCGTCCGAAAAATTTAGATGATGTTGCATCGCAGGACCATGCTGTTAAGATTTTGAAAAAGACGCTTGAATCAGCCAATTTACCACATATGTTGTTCTATGGTCCGCCAGGTACAGGTAAGACATCTACTATATTAGCTCTTGCTAAACAATTGTATGGGCCTTCTTTATATAAATCAAGAGTGTTGGAATTGAATGCGTCTGATGAAAGAGGTATTTCAATTGTAAGACAAAAAATAAAGAACTTTGCTAGATTGACGATATCCAATCCTTCCAAGGAAGATTTAGAGAAATACCCATGTCCTCCTTATAAAATTATTATTTTAGATGAAGCCGATTCCATGACGAATGACGCACAATCAGCATTAAGAAGAACTATGGAAAATTATTCTGGTGTGACCAGATTCTGTCTTATTTGTAACTATATTACACGTATAATCGATCCCCTTGCATCCAGATGCTCTAAATTTAGATTTAGATTGTTGAACAATAACAATGCCTTGAATCGATTAAAATATATAGTGGATCAGGAAGATATTGCTTTGGATAACGAAGATGTCCTTGAAGAGGTGTTAAATATCTCTAATGGTGACTTAAGAAAAGCCATTACATACTTACAATCTGCGGCTAGATTGCATGCATCTTTTAATAACAGAATTGATGAGAATGGTGACGTTGAAATGGTCGATGCCGACACCACAAGTAAAATTACGAAGGATTCTATACAAGAAATCGCCGGCGTATTACCAGAAGCTTCACTAGATCAAATTATAAGTTCCATTGAGTCGTTGGATACAAGGGCTATATTGCACAAAGTTGAGGAGGTAGTATTACAAGGTTGGAGCGCTCAGCAGGTCGTAGATCAGTTACATGACAAATTCATATTGAACGATTCTATGGAGTCATCTACTAAAAATAAAATTGCAAAGATATTATTCGAGACTGACAGGAAATTGAATAATGGTACAGATGAACATATTCAGTTATTGAACCTATGCTTACAAATTAAAAACGTGTTATAGTTACACTTATATTATATAGCAGAATACTAAATATTGATATTTATGCGTACTGTAGAATAAGAGTGCGACAACTTTATTTTAGTTCACCGGCGTGGTGAAGGCTGATTTCTTTGATCAAACCCACCTGATTGTTGTAATGGCGGCATTGGCATTCCTGGTGGTGGAGGTGGCATTCCTGGTGGGAATCCCATGTAAGGATGATTTCCAGGAGGTGGTGGCATTGGACCATTACGGCCATTGGCGAACTGGGATGGCATTGGCATTCCTGGCGGAGGCATGAACCCTGGTGGAAACATCTTAGGTGCAGGGCCCATATTTGGAGGGTACTGAAGATGATGAGGTGGTTGATTAGGCCCATTAGCGCCAGTTGGAGGAGCACCTAATGGACGTGAATCATTAGGTCCGTTGGCTCCAGGTGGAACATTTGGTCCACCATGAAATTGTCTCATCCATGGAAGCATTTGTTGTGGAGGAATTTGCTGTTGGTTCATTTGTTGACCTGGGGGTAAGTTCATGTTTTGTTGTTTTGGCCCTGGGATTTGTTGCGATTGCATCTGGGGTTGAACATTAGGGGTTAACGGAGATTGCTTAACATCAGGGGAAGCAACTTTAGCTTTTGGTTGCCCTTTTATGGTACTTGCAAATAGAGCAGGGCTTGACGCGTTACTCCCATCAGGACCTTCCTTTTTATTTAATAAGGACATGAAAAAAGTGTCATCGTTGAGTGGTTGACCTGGGATAGTTTTCTTGGCCTCTTGCAAAATTTCCTTTTGTGGGGAGATTGGCTGAGGTAAAGGTTGTGGTAAAGGTTGAGGCAAAGGTTGTGGTAAAGATTGCGGCAAAGACTGAGGTGAAGGTTTAATACCTTCGTTTGGGTTATTCATCATAGATAAAAATCTTGAATATCCCTGATCACCCTTTCCCGATAATGCGTGTGAGTGACTTCTACCCTGGGTGTGATGCTGAGCTGGCAAATTTTGCGATTGGCCATGATCTGGTCTGGTCAACTGCGGATGGCTTTCTGACGAAGGAGTATTGAAAAAAGATGAAAATCTAGAACTCTTAGCAGAAGGCTCTGAATTTGCAACAGTAGGAGTTGACACTCCAGAACTTGGAGCTTTCAAGGATGAAGTAGTAGAATCCACAGAATGTGTTTTTGGCTTGACAAACGAAAAGAAATAGTCTACCTCATTGCCACTTTTTTCAGCATTTACATCAGCATTATCTTCCACGATTTCACCATTTCTACGACGTTCCTCGGACCTCATGTTGCTCTTCCACTTTTCAAAGTCCTCTACTGTTTGACCCATGTTAAGGTTTAATTCGTTATTTAAGTCAGCACTTTCCCACTCTGGTTCTATTTCTTCTGTAGGTTCTCCTAATAGCTGAGATATTTTGTCTTCAGATAATGAATCTAAATCACCAGTCTTTAAGAATCCTGGTTTACGTTCCCAGTTAGAAGCAGAATCTTGGCGTTTTTTATTGGAAGCATTTTTATTTTTATTATTGTTACTACCATGCTTTGAGTTGTGACCAAACTCTTTGGCTCCGCTCGACGTGTTTTGCGACTTAGACTTGGCTCTCCAGAAGCTTTTGTCCGGCAATTCGTTTGTTTCCTTATAATCCTTAACATAAGGCAGGTTTCTTAACTCAAATAAAAATTCAATTGTATATACACGCTCAAGACTTTTCTTTGATAATTTAGATATGGTGGGCATTGTGGTGTTTGGGCTATTGCTGCGTGATCTTGGTTCAAATTCTGGTGTTGATTCTTCGGCAGCTTTAGCAATAGCTGAATCTAACAATTTGGATAATGCGCTTCCGGGCTCAACTGACCCACTAGATGCTGCTTGGCCCGATACATGCGATGATTTCTCGTTGTTGGACCCATCTTCTTTGAGCACTTGTATTATCGATGGGTCGCTCAATAATGGATTTGAAGTCGTTTGATCGGATGACATATTACAAAAATATTATGCACTTATACTTGGGGGCAATTGCAATCTCTTAAGTGATACGAATAAACAATTTGAATATAATTTCTTATCGATTTACCTTTGAAATTAACTTCTTTTGTCCTATATGATGTGATATTAAATTCTTTATTCTCTATTCGTCTTATAAGATACAGCTAACGTCCGAATAAATAATTTAAACAAGTTATAAACCTTTAAACAGGTTAATGAATCTCTTCTGTACAATTGAGTGACAATATGTATTGATCTATTGTTACAAACTCTGATGAATAGACTCTTCAAACTAGCTAATTACTGGAATTATCTAAGGATCGTTAAGTTCACCGACCAAAAATTTTAGTGTGCGGGTAAATATCATTGAAGCCATACAGTGTAGCATTCAAATATACAAAAGCTATTTAATACTACGATAAAATATAAGACAGAAGGGAAGTATATTATTCACTTCACTAAATAAGGGAGATTTAAATTCATTATTTCACGACACATAACAAACCAATCTATTTCACGTAAGGTATCTTGTGTCTTTTTGTCACTGGCATCAGACTCATCGTTCTGTAATAATTTTCTCTTTTCTCCTTCCTCCCACTTGAATAACTCATACATAAACCGTAAGTTGGGTTGAACTATGATATTCAAGCGACGGACTCTTACGTAAAGGTACGCTTTTGGTAAAGTAATATTTAATCTCTTCATCACCTCGGCAATCACTACGGTGGCAGATCTGGAAACACCAACACGACAATGGACCAAAATTTTAGTCTCTCCGTTTGACTTTTTGTACTCATTATCGATATACTTGAGAACACTGGGTAAGGAAGCAGATAATTCATCAATACCATCATCCTGTAAGTTATTAACCTTCAATACGGTTTCGACACAACAAGCGTTGGACTTAGAATTCGATGGTGTTATATTATACACCTCAATATTGCCACCATCCAATTCATCAATAGAGACATTGTTATTCTTTTGAAACATATAGCCGTTAAGCCAGTATAATGGTTCGCCGACCGATATGACTTTCTTAATTCCCAACTTGGAAAGCAAAGGCAAACTGTTTGCATGCTTCAACGATCCCAAATATAAATATGGCATGATTCGCGATGGTATTGAACCTTCGACATCCTTAACCCAATCTGTAGGGGAGCAGAATTCATCATCCCAGTCAGAATCATCATTGGCCTCATCTGAACTAGAATCCGAGTCCGATTCATTCACGATATAACCTAGTTTTAAGTTCTTGGCAATGGATTGGTTAGGTATCGAACTAGACATCTGTGGTAAAAATAATTCATTAAGCTCTTGGTTCGTTATGGTTTCTAATTCTCGCCAATTTATTGAGCTTCCCAACGTTTGTGGAGAGAATTTATTCAAAATAATTTGTAATTTCTTCAAAATTGTAACATCAGTATTAAAAATATAAAACGGCCGGCCGTAATCTAAGTGCAAATCAAGCATTGCTTGGTCTAGCTCAATATTCTTTGAATACATTAAATAGCACAAGACTAATAATGACAGTTCTGTATACCCATCTGAGCAATAAATTAATGAGCTTAACACATCTCTATCATATGATGTTGAGGATGAATATAAGTAAAGTAATTTACAGGTATTCACAATCGCCATCAACGCCTCTTTACGACAATCTCCAAGTCCTATTGATCCAGATGGTGGGAACTCCAAAGTATGAAACTCTTGATCAGTTGAGTGATGAGTTGAAATGGTATATTTGAATAGTAACGAGGAAAGTGTTGGTAGATCTGGAAAAGAAGCATCATTATGACAGTGTATAAATAAACGCCAATTCGCCTTTGGATGTGGTAAATAGGTAAATATATCATTGGAGTTAGCTGTCTCCTTCGTAATTATCGAATTATGAGGGTCGCAATATAAATCTTTAACTTTATCTGAAGTATCGAATGTAACTTCTAAATTCCCTGAATTTCTCAGTAAATTGATTAGCATTATTTGATGGTCCCATATGTTACCAACCCAAACATTCTTATTTATCTTAGTAGCAGCAGACATTCTGGTGGTTTCGATTTTTTCCTTAATCTGATAATCATTATCCCAAATTGACAATGTATTAGATTTGAATGCATCCAATTTCAAGCTTATCTGCGTCTTTTTATTTGAGTCTAGGGAGGATGCTAGGACTGAATTATTAGGTTTGAATGTAAATAAGCCTTCAAATTTTGTATACTCGTTTTGGTTCCGTAATATGTTGTCTAAGAATTGTATATCATCAGGAACAAAAACATTATATCTCGAGCTTTCTTGGCCTTCACGATAAGCACTATATATTTGAGTAAGCCATACGATACGAGCTATAGCACCACATCGACAACTATAAGTACTGTGATTCTGATGAAAGCAGTATACAACGAAATCAGAGCAAAGAGCCAGCTTGGCTACTTGAATATGAAAATTCCTTAATGATACACCTGAATCGGGGTCCAAATCAAGAAAGAATGGGAGATGACCAATACTTATACAGTCGTCGAAAAATACACCTAATACCTCATTTAGAGTTGGTAGGTCCTCATTTTCAAATATCTTGCTAACAATATCGTATATTAAGTCTGATACCTCTGCCTTCGAGATGTCAATGGGTTGTAATATTTCATTGAGTTTAACCGTATTTTTAAGCAATGGCTGGCCCGATAAGCTATTTGACGAGGAATTTACACACATTAAAAACCTTGCACTTACTGGCCTCGATTGATCAAAATTATTCAATGAATAGCTAGTTTGCTGGATAAAATATTGTCTTTGGGCAAAATTCTCCTTGTGGATTCCATGGAGCCAAGGAAACATGTCCTTTGTGGGCGGAAGCGGCCTATTGAAGTACCAATTGAATACATATTGTAGCTGCTCGTATGTTATTGATTTCACCAGAATTCGTGTATTGATCTCCTTAAACGGCTGCACTACCTTCAAATCCTCCTTGTAAAACTTCGACCCACTATCTAGTGGAGAAATGCCTTCTTCTATCGTACACTGTTTTATGCATTCATGGTCCGACTCCACATTCAACTTGGTCGTCTTGGTCCCTATTAGTCCATCGCACACTTCACAGTTCTCGTCCACAACAGTACAATTATCGGAATCTATAACCTCATTCTTTCCATTAGCCTTCTGTATATTATTTCCCTTTGTATTGAGCGTCTGAAGCCTCGCCTTGAATCTATCTCTTTCATATAGAAGATCGTTTGATGAAGACGACGATCGCTTACTCATCCGAGCCAATGCCGGCACTGGCTTACCTTCCGTCGGCCCTGTCCCCATTTTAGACTCACTTTTATTGCTTGATATTTCTTTATTTTTGTCTATTACACTCATATCTGCATTATCTAACCGAATCAACCTAGGAATTTGTGGAATCTCCGATGGTGTGGAGTTACTAGTTTGTGACTGAATACGGATAGCGGATGGTAATCCCGTTGAAGTCATCGCAATAACTTCTATTGTGAAGTACTAGTGTTTATCTGAGTTGAATCAGCCGAAGCTCGATAAGTTACCACTACTATTCAAAATTCTCGTTAATCAGGAGATAATAGCCTTATCTAACGGTTATACAAATTGTCTGGAAATGATTGTATATAAGATGAAAATCAGATTTCCGGGTAACTGTCGTTTATTTGGTGAAGAAGTAACCATCAAAGAAAATGTTAAGACGGTTTTAACTGTAAACTGGCAAGCTAATACAACCACATCAGCAGTTAATTGATAGATTAATATCAAGTAGACAATCTCTGAGTTACGTTCTATAACATTTTTTCTTTTTAGACGATTTTTCCGAAATTGCAGGCAATAAATTTTCTTTTTCACGCTTAGCACAGAACAGTAGCTGACGAGGCAATTGTTGATTTAGGGAAGAAATAGCAGACAAAAGAAGATGACAAGCACACCTAGTGTTGAGGTTATTGAACAATTGAATCAGGCCCGTAATTTAGCGTTTTCGAGTAAAGAAACATTTCCACAGGTATTAAGACAAATCTTGCAATTTGCAAGCAATCCAGATATCCAGATCCAAAGATGGTGTTCTAAATTCTTTAAGGAATCGTTTTTGGCTGACGAAACAGTGTTAAGCAGAGCCGATAAGGTTGACTTGGCGATAGACTCGATCGACAGTTTGATAATCTTGTTAGAAATTCGTGATGCGGAAATATTTAAAGATTGTATTGATACGGCGATAGTAGTATTTAGACTAGTGTTTCGCTACGTTGCTGAAAACGATGGATGTGGTGATGTATGGCAGAAATTGAATGAGTTGAAGAATATGTTAACTAATAAGTTTCAAAGTACATTTCCTCTAGCACCATCTGACGATGAAGAACATGATATGGTACGCAGCATAGATTCTAAGTTGGAAATCTTGAAATTTGTGATACTAGTAATTGACTATCAGTCTAAATCCCCTTCCAATATAACCAGCTTTTCTTTGTCACAGGTCCAACCAAATCATTCACTCATCAAACAATCAATAGAGGCTGAAGCATACGGCCTAGTGGACGTAGTGTTGAAGGTTATTACCAATGATATACTCATACCGCCATTGGTCACTGCCGTATTTAACCATTTTTCAGTTCTAGCAAGAAGAAAACCCCAATTTGTTTCAAAAATGTTAAATGTGATAGAGAATTTTGACACGAATACAAAATTACAGTCAAACTATCAGACGATTGATGAATATAAGCTATCAAAAAAATACGTTGATAGAATCTTGAAAATTTTCTTAAACCATCTATTAAGGAACCAGCTAGTGCCTTCCAATTACACTTCTTCATTAAATAAAAAGTTATCACTCTTGGTGAATCGTGGTGATGATATCAGAAAGAAAAACATATTACTGCCATCACCAGAAGATTCAAATATTAAGAAACGTAAATTTGACGGATTTGTTAATCCATCAAAAAGGTGCAAGACAAACGACTACAAAAATTTGTATTGCTTAACCGACTCAACCAACGAATTAAATAATTTTGATATATCAACACTTCCACAAAACATGTTGATATCAATGGCATTGGCATCGCTTAATAAGGTAAGCACTAATAAATTGAACAAAGCGTTGGATATTATTGGTGAGAGATATAAATATGCAGTGGCTAATTTTGCACCGACAGAAATTACGAAAGAGCAAGATGGAGAGTATGATGATGAAAATAATGATGGTGATGACTTCAGCCCAGAAACTAGCTATACCTTGCCACCACCAAAAGACCTTTCATACCAAGATAAGAAAGAACATGTTAATTTGATCATAAAGAACTTTTTCAAATTAGCTGATAAAAACGTATCTGATGTTGAAGAAAAACAAGAATTGGGTGGTAAGGATACCGTAAATAAGGAATTAACAAAGATCGCTATCAAAGCGTGGAAAAAGGATTCTTGGTTTGTTTTGTTGACAAGATTAGCCACTCGTGGTATGAGAACAGTTGATTCTACAAAGCCAGTTATAGGTTCAGAAAAGGTTGAAAATGAAAGCACTGATGTTGCTCAAAACGAAGAGTTGAGTGATATTATTAGACAATCTATTTTCGACCATTTTCTCGATAATGTACACGCAAGAATAGACTTAATCATTGAATGGCTCAATGAAGAGTGGTACAGCGAGAAGGTCTTCAACGAGGACGTGTTGCATAAACAATTAACAGAAAAGTATATTGACCAATATGAATCAAATCCCGTTGAAAATGATTCAGTTGAAAAAAGAGTTAATAGAGAAATTGATGCTATAGAGATTCCAACCCCAACTTACAACAAATGGACTGGTAAAGTTTTAGACTCTTTGATTCCATTTTTGGAACCAAACGATAAGAAGATCTTTATCAGATTATTATCCGACTTACCCTACTTAAACGAAGATCTAGTGTCGAGAATCAAATCGTTGTGTTTTGACCCAGTTAGATCTAAAATTGGGTTTTTGTCATTACAATTCTTAATCATGTACAGACCTCCCGTAAAACTGGCATGCATACATATTCTCGAAGACCTCTCGAACAGTGACCAAGAGGACCTTAAAGAAGAGGCAACTAAATTATTGAAAAAATATGAACAATAGTTACCTTAGTGTATATAATTGTTCGTCATATATATAGAATCTACGATCATATTAATAAATTATTTTTTATTCTTCAGTATTTTTGGCTTGTGTACTTTACTCCCCCTGTGTAATTCGTGTAATTTCGCTTCATTGGCCTGACCTAATTTAATAATATTCGACAATTGATGCAGTCGTACGTTTGAAAGTTGTTTCAAAGGTTGATTGGATTTCAGTTGTCCCTCGTACTTTTCTTGGTTTATCGCATTCTCCTCATAGAAATCACTCGTGTTGAATTCAGTCATTTTTGATTCAGTCATGTTCTGTTCAGGTTCGTTTGAATCTTTCTCCGTATCCTGAGGAGTGTTGTGTCGTATTTCATTGTCCACATCAGAAGGTTCTTCGTCATATTTTTGAGTAGTATTTTCCCGAAAGTCTATATGTAATGGTTGGTGTAGCACAATCTTATTTTTCGTATATTTATCGTCATTAAACACCTTGAATGACTTCAATTTTGTTGTACTAGTGGTCCTCGCGTCATTGTCACTATCATTTTCACTTGAGTATCCTTGTATATTATCCATCTTGCATGGGGTTGTGGCGTAGCGATTTGTAAAGAAATCGTTTTAAAAATAGACTCAAATTTTCTGAGAAACATTCCATCTAGAATTACACGATACGCCAAACGAATTTTAAAGATTAACGCCCAGAGGTAGCTATATATGTTTAAATTGATTTTAAGTTGAATTTTATAACTACTACTCTTAGTATTTCAGGAAGTACTAGTCACAATCGTTAAAAATGGGTCAGAAAGATGCCAATTACGTCCAAGGTTATTTTGATCCACATAAAGAGATCGATAAATATAACTTAGACGATTCTACGTTTGATTTAATAAATATAGATAGGTTTCATAATACAAAGGCGTCTACTGTATTCTCGTACATGTTCATCTGGATATTAATGATGCTATCATGGGTTTTGCTTGCGGTCGATATCTATACTTGTTTGAATATATTGGTGTTTCACAGGTGGTCCAATGAGGACTATAAACCATACGCGTATTCAGTAGCTAAATGGATATTTACAGGGTGTATTATTTTCCAATTTTTATTATTGATTTACCATTGGATATGGGCCATTCATACGTTTCGTACGAAGAATATTGCGCTTACTTACGTGAACTGGATTGCCCGTTTGCTTTATATTATCAGGTCATATAACTATCACTGTTTGTTTCACCAAGTAGAACAGGACAATTTCTTTGATTGGGCCTGTTTTTTGAGCTACGGTGAGTTAGACAATGCATTACAGATTCTAGTGGCTGATACCCCAAGACAAGTTATCAATATCTTAACCTTGAGGTACTATGCGACAGACGGTGACATACTGAATGATATTATCCAGAATATTAAAAAAATAGCCACTAGTAATTTGAGATTATCGATCATCTTATCGTTCATGTGTCTCTCGTTTGCCATTTGGTCAATTTTCTTCATCAAGTTTTTATTGGGTATGATTTTATACATACCTGTAATGGTTAAATTGCGTAAAAGAGATTATAAATCGTTAAAAAAGTACTGCTGTGATGTCGTAAATGAAAACGTAAGAGTATTAGTTCTCAAGAATCATAAATCCAAGAAGACATTGCTCGAAGAAGGTATAGTGGATATCAAAGATATTAATACAAACCCCTTACTTTCATCTTCAACTACTACTTTTGATTTTGATAATAAATTTGAAGATATGGCTCTGGGTTTCGGTTATACCAATTCTAGAAATATTTCCGTACCATCAGCCATACACGAGGTAAATTCTGGTTATCGTTACAACGATAATTACAAACTATACAATAAAAGTCATACACATACATACGAATCCTTACCACTTGACGACCTTTCTTCACAATATCATGGTGTCAAACCAACGGTTCCCCATTCGTATGTTCCATCCAATCTTCAAAGGGCATATAATACCAATGATTCACACTACGCTTTTACAAACCCATTTGATGACATAAATAAAATGACAAGTAAAGATAATTTGATGTTTGCTAGATCTACGCATACACCGGGTAGAAAGCAACCGCCTGTTGAATCAGACCCATTCGATGACGATGCAGCTTTAAGTCTAAACGATTCGTTTGATAAATCTCAGCCATTAGCACGAAGAAAGTTTTCTAATAGTTCGCTAACTGATACAGCCTACTATCCACCTAGAACGATTGAGAAACAACATTCTAAGTCTTCTTTGAGCTACGACAGCCCAGCAAAGCATGGGAAAGAACCACATTCTTTACTTCACATAAACTCAGGAAATACACCCTATCCGTTAAGAGGAGTTTCGATGTATGGCCCGCATCCTGAGCAAGCAGAAACTAGTGATAAAGATTACCAGAATTCCGAAAAAATATCATCCAGCTCAGAAACTGGATACCCAGTAGAGTCAGCATCAAGTACAGATGATGACAACGACTTTGCATATAATACGCATCATTAGCTTCCCTATGTCCATTTTATTGGGGAAAGCTTGCATTTAAATATAAATTTTTTATTAATTATACCTCATAATTGTAAATTAGAATTAAGTATATACAAGAATTCCCACCTTTAACCGTTATTTACTATATTCTTCGTTATTTTCTCCCTAGCTCAAGATGAATTTTTCTTGTCTTCGTATTCTTTCTTCAACTTAGCTAATTCGTCATCTGCAATTGGAGGGATTGGAATATCACTGAATTCGTCCTTACTCAACATATCAACTGTGTAGAAGTATACACCTAATGGAATAGAAGTAGCTAAAGCCAAACCAATCATGTTTCTAGCAAAAAATGGAGCCCTAAGTCGTAATAACGCTGGAGTCATTTCGAATGTCTTTGGATCACGATAACGATTATGTCCTTTTCTTTAGATAAGTTAGTATTTAAGTTTTTCTAATGAATCATTTCGTATTGACACTTACGGTTTACCTAAAACAGCCATCTTAATTAATTATATCTATGAAAGTTAAGTCTATATTACCATTGAGTGATTTCTTCAAACGAGAAATCTGAATGGGATTTTTTGTGGTACGATAAAATGGCAGATTTAAACACGTGATAATATACAAAAACTACCCAGTATATACTTCCTTGACTGTTTATGTAACAGAAGCCTTCTCTTAAACATGATGCAAGAATAGCCTAAGCAAGGACTATAAGATCATGCGATATTAGTTAATGTATGAATTTAGTAGATGATTTCGAAAAGAGTGTAGACTTTTGTACATTGCAATTGCTGCAAAATGTCACTATTTTACAAAAAAAGCCGAATACTGTTTAGATCTACCACTGGGTAGTTTCATAGATGGAGCGTCTGATATAATTCAAATTGTAATACTTAACTTTGTGCGTTTTTAGAAAATTTGTTTGAATGCAGAGTGTTCTATTAAATTAATTAATTTACAAAAAATTACGTAAAAGCCTAATAATGATTAATTCTCCATAATGTAACTTTACCACCTTCGTTACCAATAGCCAACATTTCATTATTTGGAGAGAAGGTAACTGCAGTAACTCTACCCAAAGGAGTACCACTGGTGGGCCAATTGGAATACACCGAACAAGACGGCAAATGAACTAATCTCAAGGCGTCTTTCTTAGCTCTCGAAGCAATACACAATATTTGACCATCTGGTGTAAAATTTAAGGAAGAAATAGATGTAACCAAGTTCTCGATAGTTTTAATGGGTTTTGGATGTCTTCCATCGGTCAAAGTATTACGGTCGTATATATTGACAATACCATTATTAGTACCAATTGCTAACCAACGATTTTTAGGGCCACCAAGTTTAATCTTTGTTATACCAGTACCACTATCATCTTGCCATCTTCTTATAATTTTATTATGATGCGTTGGTTCTTTCTTTGATTCGTTTTTTGATGCATTATCATTGGATAATTCAAATTCCCAAACTTCACCAGCCGAATTAATGACAATTATGAAAGTTTCATCATTAGCAAATTCAAAGTCCATAATGGTTCCCTCAATCTTGAAGCCCTTAATCCATTGACCAGTCAAACCATTCAATATATTACACCAACCGCTGCTACCAGTAAGTCCGATATATGAACCTTTAGAGGAAATCTTAAAGTATTCCATCGATCTTTGAAATTGCTCATGACCGTACATACGAGAAATTTTTTCGACTTCTCCTGTGTTAAGATCCCATTTGTTCATGTAACGTCTTCTTCCACCAGCGAAGATTAAATTTTTATTATCTTTCGATGGGAATGGGGAAAAATAACAAGATGAAATTGGTGAATTACGTAAATGTAATGTAGTTACTATGTTGTTAGTCTTACCATCGATATGGTAAATACGTAACGTTCTATCAAAACCACCGGTCAATAATAACGGATGGGAGTGATGGAACGATAATGATTGGATAGCGGCTTTGGAAAGTTTTGAGTGGTTAGCATCTTTAAGTCTTGTAATAGAAATCTTGTTTGGTGATATTAATTTTAATTGCTTTGTAATAATAAATTGCTGTGTGGATGATAAGAGCTTTAAGACAGCATTATTATCGTTATTCGAAGCCTCCGTTATTTCATCATCCTCGTTACCGATGACTTCTGCATCTGAATCTTCGTCTTCCATATCATTTTCTTCCAGTTGTAATTTATCGACCCACTCAGGTTTTGGGTAAATCTTTTCAAATTGTGATCTCAATCTTGTTATATACGATTTACCATTTATAGTTGAATCTGTTTCAACTTTTCTTAATTTTCTCACTTTATCAGAAGAAAGTAACGAGATATTTAATGTATCGTCGTCACTATCTTCCCATGCAATTTCTGAATCATTATCGTCTTCTTCGTCATCTATCTCATCATCTGATTGTGAGTCTTCGTAGATATCCATCGCATCTTTATCTCCTTCTGCTTCATTAGTTCCATCATCAATATAAAACAATTGATCATCTTGCACATCCTCTAAATCATTCTCGTCATCAGAAGTTTCATCTGACTCGTTACTGCCCTCATCTTGCTCTTCAGAAGAATAATCATACAAATTATCAAGTTTTCTTAAATTAGTTTCAAAGCCCTGTACATCTCCAAACACCAACTTTTCTAACAATATTTCTTCTTCGTCCTTAGGAGGGATCAGAACTTCATCTCCATTCCTATTCTTAGACATCGTGTTCGAATTACTCATGATAAATTGAAATGATCTGATTGCAGTAAATATTTATGTCTGCTCATCTTAACAAAAAAAATTTCACTAACTGCACAAAAAATCACGTTTTACATTTTCACTATTTTGTACTAAAATCTATTAGGATTTTATATCAGTACGTACATAGATAATATAGATAGACTGATATATATATAATGTTAGAATGCTATATACCATGTTTTAACTGTATAATATTAATTCTTCCAACAAATAAACAAACAGATAAGCTTACAACTGTTATATGCAATGAAGCACCTTCAATTAATATTAAAAGCGATTTTATGAATTGTATACGTCTATTATTTATTCCCCTTTCAATTCAGTAACGAAGGTGATAAAATATTTCTTGAAAGCTCTTTGGTCCAATTTAACTAGATTAGTACAAAAATCCGTCATCAATTCCAGTGAAAGGCCCATATTAGTCAAGTAATTCGAAAGGAACGTAAGATATTCATCACCTCTCTTTTCTTGGTAGGTTTTTAACAAAGATGCAATTTCTTGTCCCACAAGTCTGTATTGTGCGTCTTTCAAATCAAATTCCAGCTTTTGGAATGGCAATTCAAAAGATAACTGGACCGCCTTATTCATCAAGTATTCATCGACTCCTTCAAGTGGAGGAAGACTTTCGCCATATTTATCTTGGGGATCATTAATTTTACCACCATGACCACCCATAACTGAAACAACATTAATAAGTTGAGTTATGGCCAATTTTGAGACTGTGGGTTCAGATGTATTATAGGCGTATACAAAGAAACTCTCCAATATGACTGGAAATTTTTGTTTGTTAGTTTCCGTGATCAACAAACTAGATGAATGATTAGTGATGATAGCACTAATAAAATTCATATATGACTTTTTCAACGACTCCTTATCTCTGATTATATCAGGCATGGATTCGTATTCATTATTTTCGCCATTATACTTCAATAACGAAAATATTTTGTCCAACAAAGGAGATAATAAATCATTTAGTAACTGATAAATATTATCGTTGCTTTGAAAGTTATGAACGATTTGACCTAAAAAGTTCAAAAAGTTGGTTAGTTCTGAAATTTTTAAATTATTAGCAGCTAAGATAATAGAAACCAACTTGCTTAAATGATTGTTGATTTCCTCGTTTAAGATTGGAATAAATCTAGCGAATGAGAATCTAGCTGCATCTCTTATGATCTCGAATTTTGCAAAATTTTCCAACGTAATTAGAACAACTTGGGATGCGTTATTAATTTTATTGACAATTTCTGCAGAATACTTATTATTATAATCATAATCATAACCCCTAGCAAATGTACCTATCGCCATGAGTGAATGATGCGCTTGCAATGCAATTAGTTGTTGATTAACCTTATCCTTGTTCGAGATACAGTTCTCTAGGTCATTGAACAATGGCTGAAAGATCAAATCAATCATTCTCACCTTTAAGGAAATATCCACAGATAGCAAAGAAATTAATAATCCAATACTTTCAAAAAGGTTCAATTGGTTATTGAAATTACCATTTTCAACGGTGTCATTATCCTCATCCTTTGTAGGTAACTCTGCCTTTATGACAAGCAATGGCTGTAATTTAATGAACAAGTTCTCAATGAAAGATGAGTTGTTTAATGTTGGCTTGGTTAACTTGACAAATCTGAAAAACAAATACCACGTTCTTAATCTCACTTTTTCGGAGTTGTTGAATAAGCCTAATGGTGAAGAAAACAATTCCAAAATTCTTAGGATAACTTCTTGGTTATTGATATTAGTATTTAAAAAGTTATAATGACGAACTATTAATTCAAAAAAGCCTAACTGAATTTTTGGGTGGTCAATTTTTAATATTAAGTCTGAATTAATTAATTTAATTAAAAACTCTTGAACCAAAACATAAGGCTTAGAATTACCAATTTCTTGCTTCGGTAAGTTAATCAAGTTGTTTCTTAATGATTCTGTAAATGTGTTTAATTCAAATAAGCCTAATTCCAAGTTCCTCCAGTTAACCTTATCAAAATCACTAACATTAGCAAAAACAGACTCATTAATAACTATTGGTATAGCCTCCAAAAATAATTCTGGCTTTAAAATAGCAATGGTATCCTGGAATGTCTTTAACTTCAATCTGATTTCATTGAACTGTTCGGTTGATTCATCATCAGTACCATCATCATCATCGTCGAATTTCATTTTTAAGATAATTTTATTTAATAATGATGATAACAATTCAATAGATGCTAATTGATTAAACTTCTTGCAGGTCAACAAATATTGTTGAATGAAAGGGAAAATTTGCTGGGAAATATCGTCGTATTCGTGAGACAAGAATTTGAAGATTGAGGGCCATAAGTTTAAAAACTGTTGATTAATAGAATCAAATAATTCTAATTCGGAAGATTCTAAAACAATGACTAATTCTAGTCCAACTTGATTGGATAATTTAGCAATGTTTTCCATGAATTCTAAGTCATCGTCATTATTAATTGAATTAATAATTGAAGTCAAATTCAACAAAGAAATCAATTCCAACTTATTCAAAGGCTTCATTTTCTTGGAAATGACCTCAATCAAAGTTAAACATGTTTCATTTCTCTGGTCTGGTTTGTTAAGATATTGGAATATAATGTTAATGAAATCATTAGAGATGAATAAGGTGATTTCCATCCAGTTAATATAGTATCCAATGATCTTCAAGAAATTATTTAAAACATCATTGTTATGCTGTATTAATTCTGGGTTTCTTAAAATCTTTTGCCAGTTGTCTACTAACAAATTCATGTCATTTGTAC